ATGCCAAAAATAAAGAAATTAATGATTTCCACTAACTTCTGATTTCTGAAATTGATCGAACATGCAGTCAAGATGCATTGAGAATTATTGCTTATTGGAATGCAAAAGTTAAAAATAGTAACAATCAGTAGTTGGAAAATACAGTCTTTGTGATAAAACAATATTTGAAATTATATGATGGATTTTTTTTTCAAGATTAACAATTTACTAATTATAAATTACTTTATTCAACAATATAAAGGGTGACCATACACATTAACCTTGCCAAATAGAACACGCAGAAATTAAATCGACTACACTGTGGAAAGAGACTATGGAGAAATGCAACATCATCCATCAGAACAAGGGAGAAGTCAACTGGGGAACAGATCATCAATTGCTCATATGCAAGTTCAAATTCAAGTTGAACAAAATGAAAACAAGTCCTCAAGAACTAAAATGCAACCATGAGTATATCCCACCTGAATTTAGAGACCATCTGAAGAACAGATTTGATGCATTAGACACTAAAGACTGAAGACCAGAAGAGTTGTGGGATGACATCAATAGCGAAATATACAAAGAAAGAAAAAGGTCACTAAAAAGACAGGAAAGGTACAAAACACCAAAATGGATGTTAGAAGAGACTGTGAAGCTTGCTGTTAAGTGTAGAGTAGCTAACACAACTTGAAAAAATGATTAAATAAAAGAGCTGAACAGAAAATTTCAAAGAAAAAGTAAAATATTGTAATGAAATGTACAAAGATATGGAGCTAGAAAACCCAAAGGGAAGAACAAGCTCAGCATTTCTTAAACTGAAGAAAACTGAAGAAAAAAATTCAAGCCTCAAGTTGTAATCCTGAAGGACTCTGTGGGCAGTATGGCCCTTCAGCCATAATCTTCCATTTTGTAATATATTGTTAAACCTAACCTCTATGCCAAGGATCTGTGGTAGTGTAGTGGTTATGAATCGGGCTGTGAACCTTAAGATCAGCAGTTCAAAACTACCAGCTGTTCCGCGGGAGAAAGATGAGGCTTTCTGCTCCCGTAAACATTTACAGCCTCAGAAACCCTGTACAGGATCGCTATGAGTTGGAACCGACTTCACGGCACATAACAACAACAACAGCAACCTCTATGCCTGTGATTATGGTTCCATTTTGGAGTGATGTTAATGAGACAGGATTAAGGAGAGATATATATCTTGGGTCTCTACTTTACTAGAGGATATGTCTTGGGGGTGTGGTCTGCAAAGTAACTACCATCTCTGATATATGTGTTACAACAAGAATTAACTTCCTCTTTTAAGCTCTTGCCTTAGTCAAACAGCCAGCTTCCTGTTTAATTAAGAAAAACAGGAGTCTGTGTTCACAGAACTAGCTGAGACCAGATCCGGCCCTTCGAACCTGCACAGTAACAACCAATGTTTCCTCAGTCTTACCTTGTGACATCACAAGACTGAAAGCACGCTTCCATTAATGCCCAAATGTGGGGAAAATACCATCTTTGTGATCCCTACCCCAAACTACATCCAGAGGATGCTCTGAAGACTAGTTATTGTGCTGAATCATCCTGAGAAAAACTAATCAGATGCCAGTTATCTCCCTAGAAGGGGCTAATAAAAGACCCCTGGCCTAGGACTTGGGGGACCATCTTACTAATGTGGATTCCTGTGTACTCCTTTGCTTGACCAACCAAATAAGAGCTGTTTCTTTCGCTTTGGGTTGTTTTGTGTCTCTGTAGGCACACCAGGTGAGACTGGGAGACCATGGTAACATTTTTCTCTGGATCCTTCATATAGTTCACCTCCATCTGATCTTCAGTTGTTAACTTGAGCCAGGTCTATCTCTTGACCTGAAGCTGTCAGCTTCCACAGCCTTGTGAGTCAACAGCCTGTCTGTCATATGACCTGCTGATTTGTTTTAATCAGCCTCTGCAACCAAATGAGTGAGAAGAATCCTCCAGTTGATGCCTGAGCTCTGGATTTGGACTTAACAGCCTCCACAACCATGTGAGCTACTTCCCTGATGGTTCTTGAATCACAGAGCCCTAAGACATGAGTGAGAATACAGAGGGGAGCCTATCAGAGATGATGGAGTCATATAGCATTTTGGAAAATTTGGACACTTTGACATCTTTCACCGCCACTTCATACGGTCCAGCATTGTGCCAATCCTTCTACAAGAAATGATCGATGCAAAAAGAAAATGGAAGGAATACACAGTTGACCAAAAAGGATTGGTCAATGCTCAGCCATTTTAAGAGGTAGCATATGATCAAGAACTGATGGTATTGATGGAGGAAGTCTAAGGTGCACTGAAGGTATTGGTAAAACAAGGCTCCAGGAACTGATGGAATACAATACCTAGGAACCCTTTTAATGCATATTTAACAGTGTAAATCTATAGTTTTCTTCACATTTCTGTATATCTTTAGAAAGCAAATATGTATTTAGTGTATGTTCCTCATCTAAATCTAAAGATTGCTTTGCATCTTCAGTTTCTGTGACATCGTAGGAAATATGCTTCCTCAGTGGTACAACGATCAGAAACCATTCACTTAATAGAGAACCACATTGGGAATCTATAAGTTTAAGGTTGACTCGCCAGGACCCAAAATAGCTTTTAGAATGCCCTGGGTCATGGTGTTTTAAAGGTAAAAATAATTTTATGTTAATGTTAAGAAAATGAGACCACAAAGTTTAAATG